GGTAAATAACATTTTTAAATGGAGATTTTTTGCATGCAAATGGGGGAAAAGTTCATGGGAAAAATAACAAAATCATTTTTTAATTAAATTTTTACTAAAAATTTTCCTTCATTTCCTTTAACTTTTGGTAAAAATATTTTTTTATCAAAATTTTTTTTTGAAATTTTTATCAAAATAAATTTTCAAAAAAAATTTTTAAATTATTTTCTCAAATAATTTTTAATAAATTTAGTATTTCCTTTATTAAATTTTTTTACATATTTTTATAACGTCTGATAAAAATATGTAAAACTTTCATAGGGACATTTTAAAAAATATTTTTCAAAATATTTTTCAGAATATTTTTTAATATTTTTTTTTGAGTATTTTGAATTTTGAGAATATTTTAAAACCAAATATTTTTAAGAACATTTTTCAAGAATATTTTTTTGTAAATTTTATTTTTCTATTTTTAGCATTAATTTGTCCATTTTTAGTTATGTTAATTTAATTTTTTAATTTTGTTTTTTTTTCAACTTTATTTGTCTGCTTTCTATTATATGTACCAATTTAACCTGCTATTTTTTCAAAGAAAACATTTTTTGGAAATATTTTTTTTCTTCAAGACTCGAAAAATTTTTTTTATTTATTTAATAAAAAAATTGATTTTTTAAAATTATTTTTTAAGGAAATTTTTTTTTAATATTTTTAAGAAAAATTTTTAAAAAATTTTTTAAGACAAATATTGGGAAATGAGTGTCTGCTTAATTTTTTTAAATTGAAAAAAATTGTTTAAAAATTTTTTTTATTCCTGTTTTCCTTAACTTACTCGGAATGGTTAATTATAATATTTTCCCTTAATAAAAATTAGCGCCTGTTGGTTTTTCGATAGGAAATTTTTTTAAATATTAAAAAACAATTTTTAACACATATTTTTTTGTATTTTCTTAGAATTTTAAAATTTTTATTTTTTTTAAATATTAAAAATTATTTATTAACTACTAACTTATAAAAAAACTTAATTATTTAAATAATACATGTCGTGATTTTAGACGGAAATTTTTAATTATTTACTATAGTTAAAAAATACAATTAATAAGTACTAGTTTATATAAATTAAAAAAATTTCTAAATACATTTTTTAGTACAAAATTGTTAAAAATAAATGAATATTTATGTCTAGAATATTTTACACTTTATTAATTTTAAGAAATTTTAATTTAAAAAATTTTTTTTACTTTAAAAAAATTTTTTAAATTAATACTAGTAGGTTATAAAAATAAGGCAAAAAACTTCTTTTTTTTTTGGTTTTATTAAAGCAATTTTTCCAAGCATTTTTTTTTTAATTTTGTTGAATTTAAAAATTAAATTTTATAAATTTTTTTTAGTAGAAAAATTTCAAAAAAAATTTTTATTCAAAAAAATATAAGAAAAAATTTTTTTTTGAAATTTTCCCTTGTCTTTATTAAAGAAATTTGTTCCCCAAAATTAAAAAAAATTTTTGAATTAAAAACAAAAAATAAAATTTTCATTAACCATATTTTTTCAAAAATAATTTCAAAAAAATTTATAAAAAAATTTTTTCCACAAAAAATTCTACTCTTTAAGTTTCTAGATTTTTTAAACAAATGCATAATCTAATTTTTTATATTTTTTTAATCTTTTTTAAATTTATTTACTTTAGAGTGGGTCCCCTATACAAACATTATATAATTTTCTTATAATTTTTTTTCTCATTAAAATTATCCCAAAAAATATATAAAGTTTTGGGGGTATAGTTTCTCCATATAACGCAATTTCCTGTTTGCTTTCTTCTCCTGAATATTTTTTTACTGAAATGAAGATATCGGAAATGAATGACGCTAAATTAAATTTCCCATAAGCTTCTCAAAATCAAACAAACAAAAAATTTTTTTATTCTTTGGTTTTTCTGAAAAATAAATTTAAATGGAGGGATATAATTTTCAAATAATTCCATTATATAATTTTTTTTAATTTTTGGCCTTGCTTAATTAAAATAATTTTTTTAAGTTTTTGCTTCTTTAAGTAGCTTTCCGGGAAAAATTTTTTCTTATTTTTTAAAAAAATTTAAAAAAAAAAAATTTTTTTTTATTTTTTAAAAAATTCTAAAAAAATTGCCAAGACTTAGGTCCAAGGCCGCACTTTAAAATACATAAAAACCGAAACACCCCCCAAGAAAATATATATTTGCGACATGAAATGATCAAGCTTTTCTGTGATAGCTTTACAACAGGGATGGATAATTTTTAATTTTAAAAAGCGAAAAGCGGAAGCGGATCTCAATCCCTGCTCTACATCCTTTATTTTTAAATTTTAAAAATGTGTGAATTAATTTTTGTAAATTTTTAATTGACCAGTCTATCTTTTCTAAATATATTTTTTCATCTACTTTGACTAAATTTTTTAAAATAATTTTTTAAAATAATTTTTTCGGGGTTTTTAAACTTGTGTATTTTATTCTATATTAATTTTTAAATTTAATTTTGAAAAAAAATTTAAATTTAATAAAATTTTAAATTTAATGAGTGTATACCTATGAATTAGACTAGAGGGAGGAAAAATTAATAAATTAAATTTAATTTATAAAATTTAATTTACCTATAAAATAAAAATTTTTTTTTTAATTTTAATCATTTTAACTCCCTCAAATAAATTCTTTTTTTACGTAATTAAAAATGAATCCGACTCAAATCCCTCTACTAATTACGTAAGTATACCTATTTTATTTATGTACTTATTTTTAAAATGATGATGATGAAGCCTCTGCGCAATTAAAAAATAAAAAAATTATTTTTACTAAATAAAAATAATATTTTTTTGTGGACGTAAATGGCTCTCTGAGATTATTTTTAAAAAAATAATAATTGATGCAAAAATTAAAAAAAAAAAGTATTTTTTTTAATGAATTATTTTTTAAAAATATACGTAATTATTTTTATGTTTTTTACAACAAGGTATTTTGTTAGGGAATATTTTTTTTTATTCCTAATTATTTTTAGAAGGGCATTTTAAAGGTTCCATTTTAGTGTGGCTAATAAGGACCGGACTGGGAGTGTCGTACGAGAATCGAAATCTCAAAAGATTCTAAATCATGATAACCTCGTCTCGGTCCAGTCTCTTTATTAAAAAATTTTTTTGAATTATTTTATTTTTAAAGGGTTATTTGGTTCCATTTTAGCGTACTGTTGGTATTAGTTTTTTAAATATTTTATTATTTTTTATTTAAAATTTTTTTATATTTTCCCATATTTGCAACATAACAAAATTTTTTAGTTATAAAAATATTTAAAAAATAATATCTCGCAATTAATTTGAAAAAAATTTTTTTTATTTAGCAAACAAGCATTTTTGTCTCTAATACCCTTTATTTTTAAAAGCTTTAAAAAATTATATAGCTTCAAGCAATTTAAAGACATCTTTAATATTTTTTTATATTTTTTAATGTCTATAATCGTCATATATATTTTTATTTTTTTTTCATTAATTTAAGCTTTAATTTTAAGCTTTAATTTGAAGCTTATTTACCTCCACACTCATTATTTTTGTTTGCATTGAAAAATGCTGTTTGGTATTTAATATTTTTTTAGTTAAAAAAATAGGCTCTATCTTAGGACATGCGTCCCATGAACATTTATGCGTCCCATGAACTTTTATGCGTCCCATGAACGTTTATGCGTCCCAAAAATAGTATATGCGTCCCATGAAAGTATATACGTCCCAAAAATTGTATATGCGTCCCAAAATAATATAAGCGCAAAACAACATTTTTTTAATTGTATTAATGAAAATCAAATATTTTATTATATGTTTCCTTGCTCCCTTGCTTGCTCCTTGCTATTTAATTTAGTGACTGTTGCGGGACGGGATTCCGCGCTGGATTTTGCGGGATACCGCTCTCACAATCTCGCACTTTTTCCGATCTGCGGGATTTTGCGGGAGTGCGGGATTTTGCGGGATTATTCCCGTGGGACTAATTCAAACTTAGTGGTCGACCACCAAAAATATGTTTAAGAATATGTATAGCTTAAATTGAGGAATGTAGCTAATTTTGGGGAGGTATTTAAAATAAGGTTTCTGAGTTTAAGGTTCCATCACTAAAATTCTCGGGTCAGGTGTAGCATTTGTAAAATAAAAATCATAAATCATTCAAAATCATTAAGGGTCCATTCAGGTTTTGGATTTTTTTTTAATTTTTTGTTTATTTTTAAATTTTTATTTTTATTAAAAAAAATAATTTTTGAAATAATTTTTTATTTTAATTATTATTATTTTTAAAAAATATTATTTTCCCTCAATTTCCATTTTTAAACATTCTCTCCTCCTTCATTTTTGACATTTTCCTTTATAAAAAAAGATTTTGTTTTTAAAATATTTTTTTTGTATTTATTATTTAATGAGTTTCTTAGAATTCATTTAACACAAAAAAATTTTCACAAATTTATTTTTATTTTTTTTAAATTTTGAATATTTTTCTATTTTTGTTTTTTTTAATTCACCTATATTTATGTATTTTGTGTTATTTTGTTCATTTTATTTATTTTCAGAATTTTGTGCACTTGATTTTATTTTTATATCATTTCCGTTTATTTTTGTATTTTCTTTTATTTTCAGAATTTATTTTCAGAATTTATTTTTCAGAATTATTTTTCAGAATTATTTCAGAATTTTTTTCAGAATTTATTTTAGAATTTATTTTCAGAATTTATTTCAGAATTTATTTCAGAATTTCTTTTCAGAATTTTTCATAGCTATTTTTTCAGATTTTATTTTCTGAATTTATTCTTCTAAATTTATTTTCAGAATTATTTCAGAAATTTTTTTCAGAATTTTTTTTCAGAATTTTTCTTCAGAATTTCTTTTCACAATTTTTTTCAGAGTCTTGCAGAATCATAATTTTTCCAGAATTTCAAAATTTAAATTTTTAAATAATCAGAATATTTTCTATTATATTTTTATTTTCTGTAATTTTATTTTCAGAATTCAGAATATTAATTAATTAATTTTATTTATTTACCTCCAGTATTTTATTTTTTTTAATATTTTTGTGTCCGTATTTTTTTTTTATTTTTGCATGCTTTTAAAATCTTCTTCCGCTTTTTTTTGTACTTTTACTGTATTAACTAATTTTTTACTAATTTATTTCCTTTCAGGTATATAATAAATATACCTTTTTTAATACATTCCAAAGCAGAATTATTTTTTAAAATTTATTTAAAAAATATTTTTAAAAAATTTTCCAATGCTTCATAAAATGTTAAATCAACAAGAAGACGAACAATCTTCTATTGCTTCTTTCAACAGAAAAATAAAAACAACAGAAAATACAATTTTTAACGACCACCTACAACAACAACAACCAAACAAAAATCCAAAACCTTTAAATACAACAAAAACAACACCAAAAATTGTTTCGGCATCATTCCCCTTATTATTCTTATTCACCATACTAGTAGTTGTAGTAATTTTGCCATCATTAACAAATTGTTCGTCGTTGGAATCTTCTTTTGAAGGGGCACCTAGTAGAATTATTGGTTATCCTTTTATTTCGTTTGAAGAAAATAATAGAGGAGGAGGAGGAGGAAGTTTTGAGGACCCAAATAATAATTATGATGATATTATTGAAAATAAAAAGAAAACACAAAGACAACGACGACTTTTACAACAATTAGTAGCTAATGAATTGGCTACAACGGAAGGAGATAATGATCCTACTTATGGACAAACTTTTCGTGGAGCGAAGAGAACTAAAGGTGAAAAAGAGTTACTGATTATTTTGTCAAGATTAATTGTTAAATAGTGCCAATAAAATGCCAATTAATTGGTCAAATAATAACAATTAACTGTTCAGAAATACCAACAAGTTACCAATTCAATACCAATTATTTGGTCATCTAATATAACAATTAATTGTTAAATAATACTAATAAACTAACCAATTAAATACCAATTAATTGGTTAATTAAATATCAATTTTTTAATAAAAAATACCAATAAGTTAACAATTATTTGGTTAATTAAATGCCAAATAACAGATGTCAAAATACCAATTAATTAGTTAATTAATTAAACAATTAATTGTTTAATTATACCAACAAATAACCAATTACCGTATTTTTTGTATTAGAGCCCCACGTTGAATTAGAGCCCCACGCTGTAATAAAGCCCCACTTTGAAGGATAGTTGAAAAATAGAGCCCCACGCTGTATTAGAGCCCCACGCTGAAATAGAGCCCTATTTTCTAAAATTTACCTATTGTATAATAAATTATTAATTTTTAATACTATACTGTTTTTTCCTTTTATCTAATGTTCTGTGCCAATGCTAGATATTATATGTGATTAAGAGGATATTTGGGGATAAATAACACCTTAAGCTGCTCCAAATCCTCTACAATAGAGGAATTTGGATGTTATAGGAGATATCAGAGATTCTTTTATATACTGGCAAGCATAAATATTGGCGAGATCAGCCTAGTTATCAGCAGATTCATCTCAGAAATCCTCCGCTATCCGATTAATCCCCAAATCATTTATACTCTCAAAATCACTCGATATCCTTATTAATCCCCAAATACCTTCTTAATCACATCTATATTCTTCAATTGGGACTAAACCGAGATATATACACGGAGTGACCGTGCAGACTGAAGCAGAATACATATAGTAATCGAAAGGCTCGATAGGATTCGAACCACCACAAAATAAAATTCGGCTTTAAATCCACCTCAAATCCACTTAATCGTGCCAAACTGTACACGCTAACTATTAACTTTAGAAATATCACAATGGTGAAATTTATTTTTGTGACAAATTTCACCATTTGAGTAAAAAATAGGCAGTTGCCTATATACATATTACAGCCTTAATTATAATTGAAAATTCCCTTATATATTTTCAAAAATTGGTTGAAAAATAGAGCCCCACGCTCTATTAGAGCCCCACGCTGTAATAAAGCCCCACTTTGAAGGATAGTTGAAAAATAGAGCCCCATGGGGCTCTAATACAAAAAATACGGTAATTGCTCAATTAACTAACAAGTAATTGCTAAACAATATGAACAAATGGCCAATTAATTGGGCATTTAATGACATTATACGGTCATTTAATGCCAATTATTTGACCAATATTGACAACAAAAAACCATTTAATTGGGCAACAATAAACAATTAATTGTAATTAATTGACCTTTCAATAATAAAATTTATTAAAAAAATAAAAATAAAAATTTCCTCAGATTCATCAACGTCAGGATTTGCCAAAATGGATGCCCTAAAGAATAACATGATGCGGGCATTGATAAATCTTAGGCGATATTAAAAAGAAAAATTGTTATTTTAAAAAAGATTTAATTAATTAAATGCTATTTTTTGCATTTTCTTTAAAATACAAAAAACGAAATTAGAAAATGTCAAAATTTATTTTATTTTAAAAATAAAGAAAGATCTCAACAACAAGATTATAAATTTGCGAAAATAATTTAAAAATATTTTTTTTCTATTTTTTAAAAATTTTCATAAAAAATTAAAAAAAAATTTTTTTCAAATTTTTTTTAATTTTTAATAAATTTTTACAAAAATTAAAGGAAAAATTTTTTTTTTTATTTTTGTAAGAATTTTTTAATAATTTAAAAAATAATTTTTATTACTGATGCATTTAAAAAATTAAAAAAAATTTTTTTTATTTTCCTAAACAATTATTTTTTTTAAATATTTTTTGAAATTAAAAAAAAAATTTCTAAGTCTAATATTTTTTAATTTAAAAATTTTTAAATTAATTTCAAAAATTTTTTTATTAATTACTATTTGACCAAAAAGACTGTGACATAGTAAAATAGAGCAGTGATAAAGTATAATCTCTTCTTTGCAATTTGAATTTAAAATTAATTATAAAAATTAACAAAATAAATTTTTTTCTTTAAATTAATTATCTGTGACACTTGGTGAGACGAAAAATCATTTTTTAAGAATTTTTATTTTTAATTAATTAACAAAAACGCAATAATAATTTTACAAGGCCGGAAAGCCTTCACAACAACCTTGAGAGCAACTACCGCTTGGGTGTTTGGGAGAGAAATTTTATTAGTTGCGATTCGACATTGAAAAATTTAATTTAAAAAATTATTTATGCGGTTAATTTAATAATTAATTTATTCGAAAATTATTAAAGAATTATTTTAAAATTATTTAAAAAATTAAAGTACCCCTATTGTAAATCTCTTAGCCCCGGGTAAGCTTGGATCCTGCAATCCCCTGGCAGTTTTACTAGAAACTTTCTGTCACCACGTATAGGTGGTCTACTGACTAAATTATTAAATTATTAAGACGCTCCCCAGATAACCTCTTCTACTATTAAGTATTTGAAATTGGATCTTCCTACCCTCTTCCAAATATTAGGTTTATTGTAACGAGCTTTCACTAACCTCGCACATGTGATCTTATTAAATTATTAAGACGCTACCTTCACCTTATCTTCTTTAACTTATTTTAAACCCTCCTCTAATAAGCGTTTATAATGCTGGTGGATCTTCCTTGCCTCTTACAAAACCTGGCAGTTATTGCCAGTAGCTTTTGCTGACTACGTATAGAAGTACTCTTCCACCTCCAAGTCCTCCCCTATTTTATAAGAAAAAATAAAATAAATAAAATTGTTTAAAAATTGGACAGTCAGACCTCTATTTTATGAAACAATAAATTTTCTTAAATTTATTGTTTAAAATTTCAAAATAAATTTTTAAACAAAATAATAATATTTTTTTTAATTTTTTACTTCCTTTTATTAATTTAAAATTAATTTTAAAATTTCGTCTAAAAATCAAAATTTAATTTAAACTTTTAAACCCCCCTAATATGTTTCAAACATTTTTAAAAAATGATTAATTAAATTTTATTTTATTTGGAGGGGTTGCTGACGTTATTAATAAGTGTTCTTAAAGGTTAGGGGGATAATTTGTCTTCATTTTTTATTTTTTGAATTTTATTGGGGGAGTAATTAATTAATATGTAGTCTTTAAATAAATTGTTCTTGGGATCATTTTTTATTTTTAAAATTTTTTTTTTGAATTTTTTTAATTTTCTTGGGGGTGTAATTAATATTCTTTAAAATAATATTTTTGGGGATCATTTGTCTTCTTCATTTTTTATTTTTTTAATTTTTTTTTAAATTTCTTGGGGGAGGTGTAATTAATTAATAGTCTTTAAATATTATAAATTGTTTTGGGATCATTTTTTTTTATTTTTTTAAATTTATTTTTTAATTTTTTCTTAATTTTCTTGGGGGAGTAATTGATATTCTTTAAAAAATTTTTGGGATCATTTGTCTTCAATTTTTAATTTTTTTTAAATTTTTTTAATTTTCTTGGGGGAGTAATTGAATTAGGCAAATAATTTAAATAAATTTTTTTTAAAAAAATATTTAAAAAAATATTAAAAAAATATTTTTTCTTTAATAAATTTTCTGGGAATTTTGTCTTTAATTTTATTAAGTTGTCATTTTTCTTAATTTTTTATTTTTTTAAATTTATTTTTTAATTTTTTAAATTTTCTGGGGGGATTAATTAATATTCCTTAAATAAAATTTTTTAACTTACTAATAAATTTATTTTTAAAATTAGAAAAATATTTTTAACTTAAAAATATTTTTAAACTCCCTTTTTAACAATAAGGAAGTACATCTTGAATTAGACAAATAATATAATTTTTGTTTTTGTTGACTCTTTTTTTAATAATTTTTTTAAACTGGTAACTGATGGGAGGAGGAAGAGGGTGTTTTTAGACAATTTAAGGAAGTTAAAAAATTTTTTTAAATTTTTTTCAGTTAGCCCAATAATTTAGACTATAAATAAAGATATTATTTAATAAAAAATTTTATTTTTGGCTTTCTCCTTCCCCCAAATTAATTATATTTTGGTAACTGGTGGGAGGTGTATTTAGACTAATATTTAAGGAAGTTAAAAAAAATTTTTTTTATAATTTTTAAATTTCTATCTCAATTTAACGACTTAAAAAATTTTTTTTTATTTTTAAATTTAAAAAAAAATATTTTTATTTTTGGCCCACTCCTTCCCCCAAATTAATAATTATATTTATTTTGGTAACTGGTGGGAGATTAAAAAATTTTTTTAATTTCTATTTTGAATTGAAAGATTAAAAAAAATTTTCTGAATAATATTTTTTGGCCCAATCCTTTCTCCCTAAATTAATTACTATATTTATTTATTATTTTTTAAACACTTTTCTTATTTTTATTCTTTATTTATTAATTTGTCCACTCTATAAAACAAAGAAAAAATTTTTTTATAAAAAATAAAAATAAACATGTATATATGTCCACCAAACAATAAGAACAACAACAAAAACAATAAAGCTCTCATCTTGTTTTTGTTTAAAGTCGGCGATTTTTTGGGAATAAGGAGGGGGATTTTTTATTAATAAAAAATCCACTAAAAACTATTGCTACTTGCGCGCATCCCTTTATATTTTTCTCTAAAGCAATTAAAAAATAAATGACCATTAATAAAAATAAATTGAACACTCCTTGCCCTAGATATATTAATATTACGTTTGATTTACTTGTTTTATTAATTAAGCTAAAAAAGAGTCCGCAAACATTGTCCGCAAAATATTTTTTCTGATTTTTATATTTAAAAACAGAATATTAAAATAGAATATTAAAAATCAGAATTTAATGGCTAAAACTTAAGTTTACAAAATTAGAAGTTAAAATTTAAAATTAAACTTGTAAATCAGAATTTAAATCATAAGAGTGAGAACTTAAGTTTGTAGCATCAGAATTAAATTGA